ACCTTTCTTTGCCCTCACATGCCCAGAAGGTCCTTGCCGAGCCATGCCGGTTTCCTACCTCCTCTGCCCGCTTTCTTATTCAGAGGGACAGAGAGTTCTTGTGCTCTCAGGAAGGCATCGTTGAAGAGTAGTCAGCTCTGCTCAACATCTTTGTTTTTAAAGAATGCTTCCCAGGGAATATTAGCCAACAGTCCATTGAACAGCTTAAAGTTCACTCTTCCAAAGTTCATGGTCCTGACGCCACTCTTCACCAGGCCCACATCCCTCAAGATCACAAACTCGACCAGGGCGTGATCACTGCAGTCCAGGCTGCCTCCAACCTTAACTCCTTTAATGATCTTCTCTGCATTGGTGAGCAGCAGGTCCAGAAACTCTTCACCTCTCGTTGGTCTGTCCAATACCTAGACCAGAAGATTATCATCAATGGATTCCAGGAGCCTCCTGGACCTCTTACAGCTCAGCAATCTACAGTGCAATCCATCTGGCCCCATGGACTTGTGAATATCCAGCTTTCAGAGCAGGTGCAAAAACCATCTCACTGTGGATTATGCAGGGCCTGTTCTGTTCCCCATCCCTATCTACCAGCACAGGGAACCATGTTCCCAGGGAGTAACAAGTCTTACTATTAATGACTGAGGCAAAGAAGGCATTAAGTACCTCAGCCTTATCCTGATCCTTGGTCACCAAGTGGCCCTCAGCATCCAATAAGAAATGGAGATTCTCCCTAGCCCTTCTCTTCCTGTTGATGTATTTATAAAAATATTTATTTTTGTCCTTTACCTTCGTGGCCAAGTTCAGTTCTAGCTGGGCTTTGGCTTTTCTAATTTTCTCCCTGCACAGCTTCACTATGTATCTGCAATCATTATAAGTAGCTTGCCCACTCTTCCAGACCATAAACTTTCCTTTTGTTCTTGAGTTCCAGCCAAAGGTCACTGTTCAGCCAGTCCAGACTCCTTGTTCATTGGCTCGTCTTCCGTGACTTGGGGATGGTCAGCTCCTGTACCTCTAAAACAACTTCCTTAAAGGCTTCCTTAAAGCCTTCCTGGACTCTCACTCTCTCCAAAACTACCTCCCAAGGGACTCTCTCAACCACGGTCCTAAAGTGGTTAAAGTCTGTCCTCTGGAAGTCCAACATGGCAGTTCTACTGACTTCCCCTCCATGGTTCAACAAGGATTGAGAAATCTAATGATCACTATACTCTAGACTATCCTGCAATCTTTACATTCCCCACAAGACCTTCTCTGTTAACAAACATCAGCTTCAGGATTTTGCTTACCCTCATTGGCTCCTTCACCAGCTATGTCAGGAAGTTATCTTCCACACACTCTAGGAACTTCTGGGACTGTTCCCTATATGCTGAATTATAAATCCAGCAGATGTCTGAGAAGTTGAAGTCCCCCACAAGAACAAGAGGGGAGAGACCTTGAGACCTTACCCAACTGTCTATAAAGTGTCTTGTCCACCTCTTCATTCTGAATGGGTGACCTGCAGCAGACTCCCACTATAATATTAGTCTTATTGGCCTTCAATTTTATTCTGACACATAAGCTCTCAACCCTATCATCATCATCACCCTCAACACCATCATTAATTTCCATACATTCACATTCTTTCTTAACATAGAGGGCTACACCATCACCTTTCCTTCCTTGCCTACCTCTTTTGAAAAGTTGGTAGCCAGAAGTGAATGGAGTTGTGAATGCATAAACACATAATAATAACTAAACAGGCTCAACACTGAACAGTTTAAAATATTACTTCTTTGACTATAGAAAACAGAAGTAAACAGTATCATGGATTACGATCATATAACTATATTTTAGTTTCATTACAGTGACAAAGTGAAGGGCTTTTTTTCTTACCCACACTACATGTCAGTGTTTACCCCATATGCCCACAACTCATGACTGCAAATATAAGGCTGCCATAAATCTAACTTGAACTTCATGGCTGAGGTGGTTAGTTTGAAACTAATGTAAGTAATTTCTGTGGTATGAATGGGAAATATATCTGAGAAGTTTGCTAAGACAGTTCTAACACTGGTCACTGTCACCATATGATTAAGGAAAGGTAATGGATACCACCACTAAAACAGCTGACAAGCAGTCAGACTGACAAATCTGTCACTGGCATTTGTGCATTCTGAAATACTTTCCACAGAAAAAAAAAAAGATCCCACTTTTTCTAACAGGAAATCCATACATTTCACTGTTAAAAACCCCCTACTGAGATGAGGATTATGAAAAATACTGCAACTCACAGATGGCAAACCACTTCAGGGACAGCTGCAAGAGCCATTTCAAGATATGTGAAAAGAAACTGTACTAAATATGGACATTCAAATATCCAGCAGGAAAGCATTAACTATTGTTAAATGATGAATGCCAGAACCATTCACCATTCATCAGCAAAAGCCAGGACAGCTGAGATTTTTAGGAAGTAATGAAACGTCAATATCATAGCACACAGGCTCCATGCTGGACCCATGACAAACATCTGCCAAGACCATGAAAGGGTAAGTGCCATGTACTCCTTGCAATCTCCTCTAAGCAGTCCTGTGCTCAGGAATCTCACAGAGAGCTATGCTCAGAAAGAAAAGGCAGAGTGATTGAGAGTCCTTAGATATAAGAGCACTCACTGCTGAGTTCTTGCTTTTATGCTCCAAAGTAAATTGTATTGTTAATGTGGAAGAAATGCACACTCCATTTGGAGGCCAAAAAATTATTCTGAGGGTACATCTCAAGTGAAATTATTAAAGCAATTTCAGGAATTCTAGCTCCGATTTACTTTGGCAAGAATAGGAATGACCTGAGATGCATTAAAAAGAAGGTCAAGAGAGGTGATTCTTCCCCTTCTATGCTGCCCTGTTGAGGCCATATCTGGAGTACTGTGTCCTGTTCTGAGCTCCACAGTACAAGAAAAATGTATACAGTTGCCTTGCTTCCAGCCTTTGTGATAGAGGTTTGCATGGTTAGGCATGTTGTGCACTAGAAACTTCCGATGCCTTTAGGTCCTTAACCACAACATCCCTAGCAGGGCCAAGCAGGAGGAGGCAGCATCTAACAGTATCAACTTGCCAAGGCAGCTCAGAGTATTAATAACAGAAATGCCTCACACACGAGACTCACAGAGTAAGCTTGAAGTATAGCCATGCTTGGGTACCAGTAGACCACTGTTAATGCCATGCCACTCACAGACCGCAGTGCTCTTGTGAAACTAAACCATCTCCCAGTGCAGAGTTGCCAGACAGCAGAGTACAATAGGACAAAAACTAAGAACACTAGAAATCTGCCAAATATAGCCAAAGATTTGCCTCACAATATGCCTCTCACCTTTTAGATCAAACCGAGACACAGGAAAACCGCAAGTTTCTGTGGGCATATAGGAGATTCTTCACCAGCATGTCGCCAGAGAACAACACTCTGCATGGCCAGATATACTGCCCAAATGAAGGAAAGCAAAATAAATCAAATGCTCCCTCTGCTAAACCATAAACAGTTATGCAAAGACAAAGGCAAACACAAGCCCTTCTCCTCCTGCTCCCAAAATTCAAGTTGTTCATTCATCTGTCCACTAGTTGCTATTTGGATACTCATTTCAGCTTTGATGTGTCAAAGCAAACAGCCAGAAGATGCAGAAATAATATTTTACTTAACCAAATTACTATTAATGATGCCAAACAGATCCCAAATGTTTGCCTCAGCTCAGTCCTATTTCAGCAGGACAAATTCCTAGAATCATTACCATAGATCTTCATATTAGTAGAAGGCTAAAATATGCGCAGTGCCTATCTAAGTTTCCTGACTTAGCTCTCGATTCATCTCCTTTCATTATACTTGTATAATGAAAATTATATTCTTCTAATATTTTTAAATAAATATTTAAGCCACTACTCTAAAGTCTTGCAACTAATTGCCAAAATTCTCCCAGAAGTTTTCTTTACTGAATATGAAGAATTTATGATTTTCTTAGTGCAGCAGGTAATTCTCTTCCACAGACCTGAAATAAGAATTTTACTTTTGTTCTTCCAAGTATCTTTCTAAATTGGTTGTAAAATTCTGCCTGTACTGGGTTGAACAACTTTGCATTATCTAAAATCTTCAACAATTAAATTGCATGTGGAAAAACTAGATTAACATTTCTATTTTAGTGTAGATTCCAGCAAGAGAAAATAATGTATACAAGAGGAACTTCTGAAAATCCTGAAATTCCTCTAAAATCAGAGTTGTGTGCTCTCTAAGTTGGGTTAAAACTTGTTCAGGGTAAACAGTGAAGGATTACTGGAGAGGTAATTAATAAAATTGGACTGGCATGTAAATATATGCTGCAGAAATTTACATGACAAAAATAATTTGGAGAACATAGAGACAGAATTTGAACAGTTATGAGAAAACTGATTTCACTTTTTTTTTCCTAGTTAATAAGCCACAAAATCCTGATTGTAGAAAAAAAAAAAAAAAAAAAGATAGAATTTGATACTGGCTATTCAACACTGGGAGATAAGTGACAAATTTATTGAGAGCATTGAACATGTTTGTTCAGTTGAGGGGAGGGTGATTTTGTTATCTGTTCTTTTTCTTGTAGGGACAGGGACAAATTCATATTAACTGAAATGAATAGTTGTCTTCAGTGAAATCTAGATTCACCCTTCATCCTCCACACATAGGTTGCTTTTCCAGACCTAAAAATGGCAATAAGGTAAGAAAATTTAAAATACAAATCATGTATTGGATATTTATCGATCAAGTAAATATGCATTGTAAACTCTTATGTCAACAAGACTGCAAGAACAGGTTTTAACTGTATGTTAGAAAGTATTTTTCTTTATTTTTTAAGAGAATGATATTTAAAAATATGTGTACTAATTTCTTACAAAAAAAAAAAAAAAAAAAAAAAAAAAAAGAGACTATTTAAAGGGTGTTCATATTTCAGGGACCCGGTTTTTATTGTGGCTCTATCACAGAAGACTATACTTTATCAGTTAGAAAAAGACATGAAATGATTTTGTGTTTATATTTATTGTCAGCAATACATCAGTTATTTAAAAATAACCCAAATGAAAACGTAAGACTTGTTACATTTTCATGTCATCTGTATTAACTGAATAAAGCTTTGTGACAATATACACAAATTTGCAGTAGTTGAAGGTAAACATTTTGTGCTTTTTAAAAAAGAAATATACATAATTTAAAAAATAAAAATGCATTACACAATTTACAAATTAACATTAACAAAAAAAAAAAAAAAATAAAGAAAGGTAAACATTCCTCAGACACAGCTGCCTCCTTGTTCTACAAAATAAATATTCAAGTAAATTAAGTTAGGCAAAATAAACTCTTAACTTTGGGTGAGCACAATTTACATAAAGGTTAAAAGACAATTTCCATTTAATTCAAGGAATATTTTACAGTGATTTATACACAGAGTTTTTAAATTGGTCTCTTCAGATTGTAAAATATTGGAAAACAAACTTTATTACATTTTGGCAGGAGAAAGGGAGTTTCAAAATGGATGCTTCATACTAAATATAAACAAGCTTGTGCAGTTGCAACAAAGATTCAAAAAGGAACTAGTCCAGGACTCAAAGCAGACACAGCAATCTAGAAACTACAGGTTTAAAAAGGAAAACACAAACCACCACATCAACAGGAAAATGTCTACTTTGCTATTTTCTGAACGGCTTATTTGATCACTTTACTTTCACAATCTAACAATCTACAGTAGTGGCTGCTTTAGGCACTGGATTTGTAGAACCACTCTGATTTTTAAAGCAAATTGCTTTTCATTCTATACTGATAATTCACTTATTATTTCTGTTTCAATGCTAAAGGGCTTAGTCACCTTTGCAACATTTAGCTTAACATAACATTTCAGTCCTCCTTATAGACTAATTTTTTTTTTTTTTCTTGATAAAGAGGGAAGCCATTTTGGCTTCATATTTCTGTGCACTTTGTAAAAAATAAAAATAAAAAATGCACTCTGGATTTTAAATGCAGCACTAGTATGATGCAGATGTGCATCAGCAAAATTCACTGAAGCAAGAAAACATGTATTAACATACTAAAATACTTGCATGGATTGCAAAGGCCAAACATACTTAAATAAACAATCTCCCTTTCTTCAATTACAAATACTTTATGGTAAGAAACAGGAGATGGCATACCTTTAGCTTCACGTTATTAACTTCTTACATTTAGGGAATACAAATCTTCAAGGTAAGAACTAGGCAACAGCTCCTGCTATGACCAGCCAGTATATTAAATAAAGATGACGCATTACCACTGAAAAAAGCCCTGTTCCCTCAATTGCCTATTGGTCCAATACAATTTGGTAACACAGAATCAGACTTTTCAAAGTACAAAAATCATGATCAAGCTTCATGTTTCCACATATTTACTGTTCTTCAAAACTTTATAACTTTTTCATTTAATTTTTTTATGCTTAATAAGATAGGAAAATCAATTAGGTTTTTCTTGCTTCTTACTCAAGAATTCTGACTTAATTACCGTTAATTACGACTAATTAAATACATTGAGATTTGGTGGTCTTCCTCACTTCCTCCCTTCCTATGGATATTCACACAGAAATGCAAGACCGAAGCCCCTAGTTCTGCAATACATGTATGAATGAACTACTACTGAGGTAGGGGGCCATGGCACTTCACCAGCTGTGGATCAAGGTATAAAATGAGAAAATAAACATGTACAAAAAGATTGTTACTGTCGTTCCTCTCTGCTTACCATTCCCATTAAGGGGAATACTTATGCAGTGGCAATAAGGATTTTTTTTTTTTTTTTTTTTTTTTTAATGCAGTAATTCCACATTGGTAATTTAATATAGCTAAAAGTTGGATCATTTTTACTTGGATTGCACAAAATGCACATTGGTTCCAAGAACTGTTTTAAAATACCTATAAAGATAGGTATTTTTAAGGACTGATGTCATCCTCTGATGTCACTGAGAGCTGTCACTGATTTCAGTGAATCTGGGCCAAAATTTGCAAAGCTGCAATTTTATTCAACATGCAAAAATGGGTGCTTCTTGAGTAAATAGTATGATGAATAGGCAGAAATGGTTTAGGTTATAAAAAAGACCTGAGAACCTAATACTGAGCTTTGTAGAACAATTATTTTTGACAGGTTGCCTGATAACATTTTGTAATTGTATTGCTTAGTAGTGGCACAATCAGTTATATGTTTGCTTCAGACTGTACATAGAAGCCATTTTATGAGAATTACCCTTCTCAGGTCATGAATGCGTATAGATACAGTGGCAAGCCAACGAGCTTGATGTCAGAAGCGTAACACTGAAAAGCCATAAGTATGGAAGAGGTTAACAGTGAGCTTTCATACTGCCAGAATTCTTTAAAAAGTTATGACAATTAAAATGGCAGAACAATTATTGTTTACTTGCCAGTACACTCAAGAGTTTAAATGAATAATTAAAAGAGTCTGTCCATCTATCCTAATTAGAAAAGATAAAAAGGGCTCTGAATATTGCAGTCAGCAACAGTGAAAATGCTCTCATTAGTAGAAGGAAAAAAAAAGAAAAAAGCAAAACCTTTTTTTTTTAGCTAACAAACAATCAGAATACCTTTTTAGACAATATCACTCAAGATTAGAGGGCAAACACTTTTCTTTCTCTTTTCTTTTTTTTCTAACAAAGTTAACAAATATAAAAAATCTAGTCATAAACAGCCTTCAAAGTACAATTAGAAACCAGCAGGACAATCTATACTTGTATAGGTAGATGGGGCAAGAAACTAGACACTTGTATTACTGCCATGATATAGACCACAAATGGCCACTGTGACGAGGATCGGTGCGTACAGTACATGTTGTTAGCCGATTCCATCCAGTCGCAGTCCAAACCGAACGCTACTCTCTTCAGGATTCAAGACCTGTCTACTTGACACTCCTTGCACAAGATACATCATCATCTTTCTGAAAAGAGGCGGTTACTATGGCAATACTAGTTAAGTGCATATCATGCTGCACTAATATAGTGCAAAAAATTGCCTTACATGTAGCAAAAAGATGCAGGCAACAGTTTGAGTTAGAGAAAGTAGAAATGTATTGTAACATTTACTGTGGGTATTCTTTTTCCAGACAGCAACCGCTAGAAAATATTGAATCTGAGAATGCCTCCTTTCTGGATGTGTATAGGAGGCCTTTATATTTTGGAGTGATAACAGGGCAGAATTTTGCAAGTGAGTCATTGCCCTCTGAAATGCAGGTTAACACAAGTTGTCATCAACTGCCAAACTGTTGAACTTGCTCATGGGTTAATCTCAGTTAAAAGTTAATGTAATAAGCACTAAATTGCTCTTTAACAAGTATATAATCTGATAGAGTAATACATATTCTTCAACTGAGTATATGCACTCTGCTTGAAAAGAGTCATACAAACTCTTGGTACAAACTCTTCATGCGTACTGATTATGCTTGGTTAATGTTGCAGGGGCTTTCAACTGTTAATACAATATCAGTTACAGTATTCTGGAGACAGAAGTGGTGCTTATAGCTTGTAAGATTGAGGAAAGACCACAAATATCTCCCATTGTAGTGTCTATTAAATTGATTCTGCTAGATTTCTCAGTGTTGATGGTCTAAAGTAAAGCAGTAATGCCTTGAATATCCATAGGCATTATGAAATCCATCCATCTTTATCTACAGTGCAGTTACAAAAAAGAAAGTCAAAACAGTCAAATCCACTCCATATAAAATCCCTGTGGCTTTGGATACCTTCTGATTTCAATCCAATAATTAAGACTCCATTTGTCACCGTGAGTATATTTTACATATCTGCATCTCCATCATAAGCCAAGGTTAAAGGTTTCAGCCGGTTGTTCTGCCTTCTCTGGGGCTTCTTTGGCTTTTTGCTGAAACAGTAAGATAATTTGTAAATAGAACAAGAAACTGATAACAGCAACAACGGATTTCATTCTTAAATGAAAGATGACTGTTTTGTAATAAGACAACACATTTGATCATTTGTAAAAGCTATACACTCAAAACCTTCATGTGGTTCATTAATTATCACTATCAACCCAAAGCAAAACCTAATTCAAAGTTCAGTTGTTCAGAAAGAGGCTGTTACGATACTGACATGACTTGATAATATTTTTGGCACAGAATCATACAAAATCAGTCATTTTTCAGAAAAGCCCATAAGCTACAGTGCAACATTTGATTGTGTATCAATGGAGCAACCAATCCAGTTCTTTTAAATTATGTGACTGAAATCTTCTCTTGATATATCGGGGATTTCCACCTTAATGTTCCATCTTGTGATTAGCTTTATCTCATACTTTCTGGAGTAACTAAAGTTAATTCCACATGTTAAAATCAAACCAGTCTTAAGTACCATGGATGTGGTTGCTAGCCATAAAAATTTTCTATCTATACTTGACTTAAATTTTAATCCAGCAGTATTTCCAATCCATTTGCTATAGTTTTAAAAATGTTTAAGCCAAATAAAAATGTATGTTTATGTATTTTATCTTTAATTAAAATATATGAGCCTTAGTTCTTGCCTTCTTTTAGAGTATATTATAAGCATTTATAAAAATCAGCCACTGCATTCTGTTGTCCAATAAACTTTTACTGGATATTTATAGGATATGTCAATCAGCCTTCCCAAACCAAAATCTTTGTTCCCAAAACAGTTGTTACAAGTAGTGGCCACAATCTAAAGAATTTGCAGTGAATTTAAAAGCTTACGGATTTTCTTTCTTTCAGAAAATATTTTCTTTCTTACCTACACATAAGTGAGATTTTGGAGAAAGTTTACTAAAAAATAAATCCAGAAGCCACCCAAATGTTAACTTATGCAGTACAGCCAAGATCTTGATGACTAAGACCATACTTCCCTCATCTTCTACCTTCACAATCCTCTGGATCAGAAATTCCAAGCAGAATCCAATTAATTTCAGGGAGAACATTCTCAAAAATTACTTGCTTTTGCAAAAATCTTCTCTTTTTTCATGCAGTAATATTTTCAAATGTATCATTTATGAAAACACATGAGAAAACCTCTAGCCTTATTTTAGTTGTATTTCTCTATATCCCACCAAATATCAAATTAGACTTGCCTGACAATTAAGTTTCCTTTTTGATACATCTCTTTGCGTTTTGTGATATAGCTGCAATGAAATCACCATGGACAGAGTACAGTTATTCTCAACAGAGATAAGTGAAAATAAACTATCCACTAAGATATGCCATATTTGCAATAAGTTCTCCTGATCTCAAGACAGTCTATCAGTTTATCTATCATCGGGGCTACAAATGGAGCCCATGAAACTCAGCTTGGATGAAAGTACATAGAAATTTAAACATTACAGTTTATAGAAGAAGTATTTGCAGCTCCTAAAGCTGCAAATATAAATGCTTGCATTATTACAGTCTGCAAGGGACTGCTTGTTGGTAAATAATTAAAAAACTCACCAGGCTAGATAGATCATAGAAACAATAAAGATGAGTAAAACAAATGCACCAGCAGCTACACCATAAACCCAGGTCTTCAGCCTCCCATCTAAAAGGAACGAATGTTAGTCAGTAGTGTTTCAGTTAGTCTTGCTGAATTATTAGTTCTGATATGGTATAGAAATACTCTTATAATCCAAAATAAATGTATTCACAAGCAATTACAGCTTAATAAGAGAAAATACTGTTAAACAACTGAGTGATAGCTCCTCTGTGCTCTTTTGTTCTGCTTTTCAGCTAAAGTCCAGTAGTCTGAATGATGCTGAGACACAGGACAAAAACAGCATGGCAGCAAGTTAGAGCCCCAGGGTGCTCAGACCCTAGGCCCATTGCTAAGGGGAAACCCCATCAGCAGGATAGAAAGGCAGAATCACTTTCTAGTCTACCTCTGGGAATTCAATCTAGTATTTTCATTCTCATTGCTATTTAATTTTCCATTTTTAAATAAATTTAACATGTTTTACCTCATTAGAACTTTAGATACAGATACGTAACTTTAACTACTGCAAAAAGTAGTTAATACATTTTAATTTCATCTAATATCATACACAAGTTTTGTTGTTAGAAAAACCACTTCTCACAGAATAAACCAAAAAAAAAAAAACCACCAAAAAAACCCAACAACTCATGCTCAGGGATAGAGCAATAGCCTGTTGCTAATAAGACCTGTACTTATGTCCAGCCTGTGCAGTTCATATTTTGGATGCGATATCCCTGCAGTCTGATGGATACATCCCACTCTCCTTTTTTGTCTCAATTCTGGACACACTTGCTTACCCTAGCAAAACCAAGGAAGAGTGATGTGACTTTTGGGGGTTTTGCTCTGATCCCTAAATGAGTACGTTGCAACATAAGGTCAGTGAATGCTGTTGGATTTGCTATTTTTTTTATGACTCAGTTGACACATTTCTAAACTGCTTGTTGAAAACATTCTTTTACAGGGGGCCTACTGCCTTGTCAAAGAAAATTCCATTGAAAAGCTGAATTATTTCATTTATGAGTGGCAAAATTGTTCTTTCATGAAGCCTTGCATATATTTTCAATATTATGGTAAGTAAACATATCTGATCTTTTTCTGACAAAATACGTATTGCTTTCTGATGCTTTTGTAGAGGCATAAGGCATAACCAATGCAGCTGATGTTTTTCCAACTTCTGATAAGAACAAAAAGCATGCTGAATTTGTTCTAATTCAGAGTAACCATTGCTATTGGTATGCAGTTAATTTTACTCTTTCTGCAAAGTGTTATAGTCATGAACAACTTGAATAACATTAATATAAAAACTTTTTGCTTCACTAAATTAATGTACATAATGACATTATAACTGATAGTAACCAATATAAGGGAAATAATTGGTCAGTTGTAGGTAAATTGAACATATCCAAAGATATGATAGCAGGAATGAGAAGAATTCAGATTTCGTTATTAATATACAGATAATTTTCTTCCTTTGGTTTATTTCCACTGATAAATGTAACAGGTTTGGGGTTGTTATGGGTATGCTTGTTTTAAAATAATATTATCTCCTTGAAGAAAAGACAGGCATTATCTTGTGTATGGATTTATGTATTTTTTGTCAGAATGGGGAACTGCGTTAATGAGGTTATTTATATTATGAAAACATGGACATTACATCTCATACAAGCACTCTGAATTCCCTTGGACAGATTATTTCTTGTGTATGAGGTAATGGCATCTATTTGGCAAGATAAATCAGCAAAGACAGCTGTGAGGATAAAAACTTTCCTTTCTGGAACTGTAGTATAGTCTGTTGAAGATTGTTGAAGAATTACTTTACACCTAGGCTTGGAAACTGTATTGAAAGAAATGATTATAGCAGAGTAAATCAAACCTTTCTAGATGTTAGCTAATCATGGAATGAAAACAATCAATCATAAATCAAGTATTAATTCAATTGAGTATCATTGTTTTTATCTGAACTGAACTGCCTTATTTAGTCAAACCAGGAATTACTGGAACATTCATGAGGTTTCATGAAATCTCTCAACTATTTCTTGTTCCAAAAAATATGTCTGAACTCACATGAGCATCTGTGTTCTATAAAGTTCAACGCAACTACCTGGTACCTGCTTATCGTCAGCACTGTGACTGCTACAACACACCCTACGGCATTTTAATGTGGAATTAGAGTGAATTAAAAACAGCATATTTGTTAAAATGTTGTGGGTTTTTTTTTTTTTTGTTTTGTTTTTAAAGAGGACCAGGAAATCTTAATTTCTTTTTTAAAATTATTTTTATTGTGGATTAAAGAAATAACTAATTGGAGTAAAGACCATTCTCTTGGAAGTATCATGTATAGAATCAAAGTACAAATAACAGTCAATACTACTAGGATTAATTGGATCTAACTAAAGTATTTATAACCCAAATCTGATTTAATCTGTTTACTGTAAGTACTGCTGTTCTCAATTTGCATTGTTTTAGTTTTTATGCAAGTAAAGATACTGCTTTCAATCTTCAGATTTAAAACTTTCATGGAAACCTTAGAAATAAACACTAAGACACAAGCGTGTAAAAATATTTAGCTCTATGTGATTAAAAGACAAGAAAATAGTTAATTGTTCTCTATATAATTGACATTTTTGACAAGAATAAAATCTCTTTCTTTGAAAGGATTTTGTCACTGAAACTTTTATTTGTATCAGTGATAGTATCAGAAAATCTGATTACACGATAGACTTTATGAAATATTTTTAATGGCATAACTCTGAGCATATTTCTTACAACTTGAGTGCTTGTTTTGCTCTAAGGAACATGGTCAAACATTTCCTAGTGATTTAAAGCATGTTTATGCTAAATATTATTGTTAGCTCTTGCCTAACATGAAGTAGTTTAGATATGAAAGAAAAAGATGCCATATCTATACTGATTGTTTCTCCATGATTCATGCCATGGCTGTAAACTTCAAGCAATACTTATCCTTTACAGATCTCTGTGCCACCTGTTCACACCTTTCTCAGTAGCATTATCAATTATGGTGGCATAATCTAACATCCTGGCTTGCACCTTTGCTATTAATGCCCTTCTGAAGTCACATTTTGAATAGCTTCTGTGAATTTTAACAAGTATCATGAATTAAAAGAAGCCTTTTGGAATGCAAAATGCCATTAGATATGCAGCAGAAAATGGCAGCAGTTTACTATTGTCCCTTTCTCTGCTTTCAGTCAGGTGTTTATCTTCTTAAATAAGCACTTAAGGATTTTTTTTTCCCTGTCATCACAAATGTGTGAATGCCAGGCCCTGCAAGAAGTAGTTAGCATAATGAACTGCTCATTGCATGACTTCACCTGGACCAAAAGGCTGTAGAAACCAGGTCCTTCCTCGTCCTGACTGGTTAGTGGAGGGCTGGGTGGGGTTCACAGCTCGACTGGTTTTCACATCTCCCTTTTTGTCCTCCATGGTGGGAATCACCACCACTGGGATGAGAGTGCACTGTTCAAGTGTGCCATCAGAGGACATAACTTCAGTGTATCCATCTTCGCAACTGCATGTTCTAGTCTGTAGGGAACAAGTGTTTTACACTGTGTAGAAGAAAAGTTTTCTGTGGGCTATAAAGCATAACAACAAGGATGACTAGAAGAGAAGATTGTTTTGAGGAGTGCTAGCCTGGAGAGTACCTCTTCATATATTTTTATGAAGTATAGCAAATGAACAGAGATTATTCAACACTTAACTGAGAAGTAGAGAATAGTCTAAGGTTGATTTTATCAAAACAGTGATAAAAAAATCTCTGAAAATACATTTATTGGCACAATCTTTAAAATGCAGAGATGTGTGGGAAAGCCCTCATGGGGTTGTTTAGTGCTCTGATGCATTAGCACATACCTCACTGCAGTAAGCGTGGGGTTGGCTGCATGGTGGGTTACATGACCTGTCAGCATCTGGTTGGCGCATCACTAAGCAGCCTCCTGTAGGACAGAAAATCATATTTCGACATGGTAATACCTCTCCTCTGATGAAAATACTGATGCCATTATTTCCTACAGTATGTCACAGATTGCCATTTTATTATTAAACTGAATTTAAGACTCTTACTCTTAATGCTAGGGGAGGGACTATTTTTCTCCAGTATTTTTTATTGCTACAATAAGGATATAGCATGTAGATTTCCACTCATTCACATTTTAGAGAACTAATATTTGGCAAGTGATCTTCTTTTCACTTTTTGTTCCTTTCCTTTGCACAAATAGTTGTGTTTTTTTTATTTGCACAAATAAGTTTAAATATTTTGTTGTGCTTGAAGAAACAGATTTGGGTTTTCTAGGGCCCCCCTAGTAACGCATATTAAAACTGTGTCCACAAAGAAAATAAAGGCATATTTTTAATCTATCTCTTTGCTGCCAAACTTAAAACAAAGTATTCATTCACTTTATGTTTTCTGATATTCCTCATTAGTTAATTTTACTCACGTTATAGTTTTGCCTCATATGAAACCATACTCCATTCTAGTCTAAGAAAACTTTTTCAGAAGTGAAGAACATATACTGAATGCTATGATAGAAAGTGGCTATCAGTGTTTCTTTCCTTTCTATATGCCCTAGTTCTCATTGCTACATCTTTATTTACAGCGCAGTTATTGTTATGGACCAACGTACACAATCAGGCTTTCACTATCATTTCAGCCAGGTTGACTTCAAAACATACTTAGAATCACTTTGAATGTATTGAGTTTCCCTCTGTCTTTCAAAAAGACATGCAATACATGCTTTAACATTCATACTGCAACAGGACAACTTATCTTGCATCTCCCAAATTAACTATATTTTTATGCTGGTGTGACATGATGATGAAATCCCGATAGCTGACATTGGTCACAATCATAGCGGATGCAGTTAGATGTGGTTATATAGATCAAATTGTTAACAGGATGGCTGATGAGGAACAAAGTAAACCCTGCTGGTTGCCATCAGTTTTTCTCACCCTCAGAAGGGAAAATTGTGCATCCTAGCATATAAATCACATGCCTGTGAGAATCTATGTAATAAAGTATCAGTCATCCAAGCAAGCTGAAGAAGGAAATAGTAGCTTCATCGCCCGTAGGAAACAACACCTTCAAGTAAAAAACAACTATTCAGCACAATAATATTGTACAAGGAAATAAATAAACAAAGGCCTTAAAATAGGAGCAGGACTCATGAAAACAATATCTGAATTTAAACGCACTATCTTAGAGCCAGATGTGCAGTGAGAAGGCATTAAAGAAATACAGTCATCTAAGATATGGGTTGATTATAGATCAAATTAAATAACTTCCATTCAAATCAATCATATATGTGTATCTACCACTTCGAGATTTTCAATACTACAGATTATACAAACCATGTTCAAAAAAACTTTGAATGTGAATTTACAGTCTGCTTCATAATTGTATAATTCCTGAAGAGAAGTTCATTCAAGAACATTACATTTAAGTACTTTCTTTGAAATAATATATCAAAAACAGTTTTGTACTGCATAGGAACAGTTGATCACAGTCCCTGGAATTTTCCATTTGTCTTCATTTCATATCAGAAAAGTACAACCTAAAACCACATACAGAACAACTTCTTAAAAGAGATACAATGTAGAACCTAGGTTGGTTTGCCATGGAGGTCCTATCAGCATTTAGAAAGGTGCGTGGATTCATTTTCTCCACTCTCTGGTAGGCTTTTGCTCCTGTTATTAAGACAATAATCACTTAAGATGTTCAAAGTGGAGATCTTCCCATCTTTCTCTTGTCTGCTTGTCTTGGAATGTTTTTCCTTAAATTGGATTATCAAGGCAGGCATTATATTATGCTAAAGTCCTACCACTGCAAGAGACAAGTATGTGAGCTAGCACTTCTTCAATTAACTTTCAGTTTATTTCATTACTCAGTCTTATAGATTCCCACTCTTTTCATGTAACATTGCAGTTCTCCTTTGAGGTGAGTGTATTCTCAAATATTTCATAAATATGGCTAGGGAAATTCAATTTAATTAATAAGGTAAGTCTTTAGAGGCTAACTTACCCCCATAACCATCCATTCTCATCTCAGTTTTGGTCTCTTAACATCTGTCTTTCTGATAGATTGTTATCTGCTTTGCAATTTCCATCTTTTCTAGATTGAGTAATGCTAATGCATATTTCTCTGGCATTCTAAATAGACTAGATCTAGATCTATCACTTTTCCTTATTAAATAGGTGATTTCCATAGCTTTGTTTCTCTGTTACAATATTCTTTAGGTAATTAATACTAATTTATTATTATAGTTGTTGTTATTATTTCCTAGTTTTCATGCATGCCCATGTTTTATGAATGCCAAATTATCATTTAATTTAAAGCAGTTTTGAAGAATAAACAAATCTTAGAATCAGAAAATAAATACTTGGCCCCGTTAAGTTATGTAAAACTCACAGAACTTTAATTTCAGAAGAATCAGCTCCACTTACATTTATTTATGCTTATACAAGAAAGCATCATGAAAAATCTGCCAGCATAACAAAGTTTTGAAATTTATCACATGGCTGTATTCAGAACAAACTATTATTTATATGTGAATTACCATGATTTATAAATATACTTTGCTTTTAATATCTTAGAGCCTTAATTCCCAAAGTGAGAAATTTAAAATTCTCTAGGACATTTAATGGATAATTTCATATAGTTATATCAATAAAAATTGTGACTTAAAGATGCCCTGTTGCATCTGATGTGAAGATGATGTATTTTAGTAATTTTACATTGCAAAATGACACTTAGAAAAGAGACTTTGTATAACCAAAAGTTATTTCAACACCTTGTAAAAATGATACAAAGAATTTATTCCTAGTAACAAATCAGACAATCATGATGTATTCTACCATGAATCAGAACTTCCCCCTTCGACCTGACGGGAGCTGGAATTGAGGGTGTGTTTATAAACATCATAGCTGATATTAAAATATTGTTAAAAACAAATGCATTGCATAATTCCTAATTCTGATAAATAAACTCACTCAAATAAGATATGCATGTAGATTTTCTGGAATTTAGGCACCTCAGTCATTCATTTAAGATATTTTGTAGCTTAGTTTATGTCAAAAGAAACTCCATCCAATCACTGTCTACTAAACTATCCTGCTATAAATTTATGTCATTGATGTAAAGTAACAAATTTATATTAACGTATTTATTAAAATCTGTTATAATTTTCAGAATGTATATATGTCTGTTATTGTCAAGCACTGCATCTGTTTCTGCCTCTGTATCTGCATTGTACTTCAATACATAAAAGTTCACTTTGCTGCAGGGCTAGAAATGTGAAATTTAAAAATATATAGATGCTTGTAGAAATATAAAATGTGCAAATCAAATATAGAAGATAATACCTGTTTTTACTTTTACTGTTACATGCTGTATAATTCTGTAACAGAGCTGACGTTTTTAGTCTGCAAAGACATGATGACTCAACACAACAGCATAGATCAGGAACAAGCATTTTTATCAGATTGTTTTTAAAAATTAATCCCATTTTCGGGAAAAAAATGTATTATCCACTTATTTTCCAGGCTTTTGTGTATATGTAAAACAAATAATTACCTGTGACATTTAAGCCATCTGACCTTTGGCACCACACAGTTCGAGAAGATCCCTTCCAGGGGCTAGCCATCCACTTGTATTCATAGCAGTGGCCATCTATACAGAAGACATTCATTTTTTAAGAGATTAAATGAAAAGACTTCAGCCTACCACTAGCTGCAAGTAGACAGCATACATTAAGTTTAATGGGTTTTATGGTGTCCTTCTTTCACCCAGCAACTCAGAAAGGTGTACTGTACACACAGAAGTCTGCACTTACTGGATGCATACAGAATAGAACGGATGTCTTCTGGACTGAACAATAATGTTCGTACACATTACACGTGGAGTAAGACCAATATAGTTATCGAGCAAAACAGACATTTTCAACAACCTCATAATGGATGAGGCCTATCTGTTGTGAAAAGTCATTTAGGAGTCAGCTTTCTTTCTTGGTAAAGCTATGCTTTAGTTACTATTCCAGTGTATGGTAAAGTAGGCTTGGCTGTATCTGACTCCACATCTCATATACACATGAGATGTGTATATGTACACATCTCATATAATCTGGGATAAAATATGAAGTCTTTCTGTACCTTAGTTGCCAAATAAAAAATATTTTTTTATTCATCTGTCTGGTGTCTAAATGAACAAGAAATGTCTTTTCTTAGGTATTTTGCTTAGTACTAGCAGTAGGACAAACTTTTTAGTCATTGTCATGTGATAAGAGCAGACAGGATTATAAATTTGGTTATGCATCATAATATCCTTTTTTTTTTTTTTAATTAAGAAATTATCAAGCAGATAAGGCAACTATTTTTTTTTTCCCCAAATCTTGAAAAGGTATTTCATTATTAAAAAGGGATTTTAAAAATGTGTTTGAAGTGGAAACATACAATAGTTAAATTTTCCAAGTTTTTCTGGTACATAGTTGATATATGGAAAATAAAAAGTTAAGTGCATTTCTATGTCCACTAAATCCATAATTTCCTAATTTTGATAGCCTCAGCAGAAAGAAAAGAAACATGCTGTAGTTCTGTATTTTGTTTATTACAGGAAGAGTGATGTGTATTTTGGTACTTACCACTGCATGGTCTTGTTTCCAAAGCTTGTTCTGGACAAAGATGTTGATTCTCTAAATCCTGAATGATTACTGCCCGAGATCGGACTTGTATGCCTCCAAAGCCAAGATCCTCACCATTAACACAGGTTAGCTGACAAAGGCTCCATTCTGACCACTCTTTCAAATAACAGTCCCCTGAATTTTTATTAGAAGATAAAAGATCATCAACGTATGTGACGAGCTCATGACAGTGAGTAGGACTTAGAAAAACTTAGAAATTCTGAGCTATTCTAAGCATCTGTGAGGCTGAAAATAATAACGATGATAGTCTATTTGTTGGAAAGCAGAATAGGTTTCTGTAGCATTCCCATAAGGTCAGACTCATTTTCAATTTCTGATGACACTCCACACAATGCTTGGGTTTAACGAATATTAGGGAATTGTACAGTGTGTACCTCAGGCTAATTTTATACATATTATTCATTACTTCTCTTTGACACTACAAAGAGAAAGCATTGTGGAGTTTTAAAAAGATTGTCACATATCCTCATGCAGAAGCACTTTAAACAGGCAGTAAAAACTACTACTGATGCATTCTTTATAAGAATAGGAAATGAGAAAGTGATTAAAATGTCTATTCCAGTTATTCCAGGGTAGTATAACAGAGTTTTGCAAAACGTAATTTCATGGGGTAAAAAGAAAAAAAATAGAATTCTACTAGTTAGATAAATTAGTGAGACTGGCTAAAGAAAATTTAAGGAAGGTCTTCAAAATCACATAAACAGACCATTTTGTAAAAGATGCAGTATCAAATGGACTATACACAGACTCATTAATAAACCTCTTACTTCTCATTATGTCAGTGAAAGAGCTATTAAAAATTAAAGCTACCTTCTACCGTACTGATGAAAGATGTAATCAGCACTGTGTTGACCAGATGCCTGATTAATGAAGGTATTTTATTTGCCAACATTAGGAGAGCATGTGAAGAAATGAATAATTGAAGAACTGATGTATACACAATAGGAAAGCAAGCAGTGATTTTTGGAAACTTTAGCTGGAACTTATCATTAACACATCCCCATAGGGCAGTTATTCTTACTGGCTAAATGTGAGACTGCTGAAGAACAGGTTCATGCTCAGCAAAATTTAAAATCTAATAGTAAGCAGTAGTGAATCCACCACCAAAGTAACTCAGCCATTTGCCCTATCAGTAAAGTATGTGAAAAACATTTTATTGCCTGTGGCTAATCCTAGATACTGATAACTGTAAGCTGAAGGAGTAAACCAAACGATCTTGAAATGTAATGTTTATTTGAATAGCTTTCTTACCTGGACAAGGAACAGTGCATGTTTCCTCAAGGACCATCTTTTTATTACCATCTATAATAGGCTCTATTTCTCCACAGAATTCCTCATCCACTATTTTGCCTACATCTTCAGTGGATCCATCAAAAACCACACAGGAAATATTCCGCACTCGTGTGCCCTCTCCACACTGAGCAACCTGGGGAAGGAGGATATGGATGCTGTATGTTGGAAAGTATCAAAAGACTGAATTTGAGCCACATATCATTGCATCTCCTATTATTTTTTTTTGCCAAAATACATATTCATTTGAGTAGGGAAAATAAAAATACATTTTTTTTACATTTGAAACAAACAAAAAAATATGCTGTCACCGTTGTTTCTTAATGTATGGATCTAGCTTGTGCTTTTAAATTGCAATCATGGCAGTATCTTAAGAGAAGATCTTTTCTAGGATAAGTCTTTTTTTTCAACAAGGATGCTCATCTGTTACCACATATACTCTTTTACAATGTAAGGATTTCAGTTATTAGCAAAGATGTCATTGAAATACCAAACTTTACCTTTCTACTTTGAATGTCTGTAGGACATTTTTATACCTGTTGACAAATATGAACTAAAAATAAATCTTCACATTTTTGTATAAAATATGTGGAAGTAAACTGACTACAATGCTTTGAAACAGATATTCAGGCATATTTCAAACATGCCTAGCTCCATAATTTCGGTGTCCACTGTGGGTCTTACCTCTACTTTGCATGCAGACCACTGACCATACTGCCATCGATAACAAGGCTTTACTGGACAGGGTTTGAATTGCTCCATCTGAGAAGGACAAGGCCTCCCATCACCCTGAAACGGTTGATTTATGGTCCTTCTTCTGATCATTTTTCCTGCAAATGAGAAACAGCAATATAGGTAATAGCAAAGTAGCTAGGCTGATTTAATCTTGAAGATGGTTCTATGTTGGTGAAAAGCATAGTGTTTGAATAATGTAATTTTTTCATATTTGACAAATTGGACAGTAAAGCAAATCTGTTGGCTCTTGCCTGTTATATGGATTTTCTTATTTTATATTTTCTGAGTCAGACACTGTATGTTCAGTACAGCATGAAGTACTGCATGAAGGAGGATGTCTGATCAGGATTTCAGATTACTCCTGTAATAGCAAAAAAAAATTAGTAAATACCCAGTTCAGAAGCTTGGGGAAGGATACTCTCTCTGAAGATGATAAAATGTTTATGGCAGTTCTGTGGAGATACTGACTATTCATCTGGAGTTTGCTGCTGTTTTTCCTGAGTTAATACAGAATTATGTGTAGGGAAGGGAAAAAGGAAAATGAAAGGGCGAGGGGAAGATGAAAGGAAACAGGGAGGGGAAAGGAAAGAAAACTCAGTCTTTAACATATTCCAAGGTTATATGCAGACCTGTAAGGCCACATGCTTGAGAGCAGTCAGACCAAGACGACCAGTCAGAAAGCTGACAATTCACGGGGCATTCCACCACACAGGATATATTCATTTGCCACATCTTTTCCAAACCAAGCTAGAAGAAAATATCCAATAGTTAGCATGTAATGTTCAGTCTGTGCCAGCAGTGCTCAGTATGCATTTGGACAGAGTGAATTTGAAACAAGTAAGCTTTAAGTAAACATGAAATAATTCCTAAATAATAAGTAAAACAATTAAGCTATTTTAAATCTCATTTCACAGAATCATAGAATAACCTAGGTTAGAAACTATCTTTAAATTCTTCAAGTCCAGCCACAAAACTGATGGAATGAGTCCCATCACTAAACTACATCCCTGCCTCTTTAACACCTGCAAGGATGAGGATTCCAGCACTTCTCTGGGCAGCTTGTTCCAGTGCCTGATCATACTCATCAGTACCTAACCTAAACGCCTTTAAGACAGCTTCCTAACACAATATTCCTCATCACCTGAGAAAAGGGGCTGATGCTTTCTTCCTGTAACATTCTTTCAGGTAATTGTAAAGAGCAATGAGGTCTGTCTTCATCCTTCTCCAGACTAAAAACTGAAGATCCCTCAGTTACTCCTCATACATCCTGTTTTCTGTTCCTTTCAACAACTTCACTGCTCTTCTCTGCATGCACTCAACCAAGTCAGCATGCTCCTTGTAGTGAAGGGACCAAAACTAAACATGATATTCAAGGAGTGGTCTCAGCAGTGCTGTGTATGTGGGGACAATCCCTTATTCCTACTGGCCACACTACTTCTGATCATCATAGAGTCATTTGACTTGGAAGGGATCTTTAAAGGTCTTATAGTCCAACACCCCTGCAATGAACAGAGACAGCTACAGCTAGATTAAACCCTGAATGTCTCCAAGGATGGTGCTTCCACCACCTCTCTGGGTAGCCTGTTCCAATGCTTCACTAATCTCATCATAAAAATCTTTCTCCTTATATCCAATCTAAATCTCCCCTCTTTTAGTTTGAAACCATTTCCCCTTGTCCTATCACAACAGACCCTGCTAAAGATTTTCTTATCTTCTTTCTTACAGCCACCCTGTAGATACTGAAAGATCGCTATCAAATCTCACCAGAGCCACAACTCTCTCAACTTGTCCTCACAGAGGAAGTGTTTCATTCCTTGGATCATTTCTGTCGCTCTCTTCTGAACTCACTCTAACAGGTCTGTGTCTCTCCGGTACTGAGGACTCCACATCTGGATGCAGTACTCCAGGTGAGGTCTCACCAGTGCAGAGTAGAGGGGCAGGATCACCTCCCTTGAATGCAGGCCAGGATGTCATGTGCCCTTTTGGTCACTTGAGCATGCAACAAAGCATGGCAACACAGTCCTAATGGCATATACTGACTTTTAAACATATTCTCAAATCTTATTTTAAATAAATATTTTCTAAATAATAACTTGTAAAATGAGGGCTTCAGCTTGTATTTTTACTTTATACTGTTGTGGTAAAATCATTAATATTTAGAATAATAAAATCATAGAATACTCAAAGTTGAAAGGGACCTACAAGAAACTCTAATTGAGTTCATCTGTTGGGTCTTTATGATTTGAGAGATTTGGCTAAGAAGTTTATCCTAACTAAAAGAACACTATTCTCAACTAAAACCTAGCAATCTGATTGTTTCTACCATCTACTTCTGAGCTAACACTGGGTGTGGCATTACTACAGACTCCACTGAGAGCCATTTCTCCATACTGTCACATTTTTCTATTTGATTCCTTCTCAGAACTAGCAGTGAACAAACTATTTAAGCAGTTCATCCCTCCCAATTTTTGTTAATATATAATTGATTTTTTGCAGTCCTTCCCTTCCAAGAACGGATATCTGGCTTTTTTTAACATTTGAATGATTGTTTTTCTTCAACTCTTTCTTTCTCCTGAAATAGCACGTATGTTGAGTCTCTGCAACCACTTGGCAGAGAACGTCGGCATAGAGAATGAGATGCTGTCCAAATGTTCTCTAACTGATTACAGTTGATAAATCTTCTCTCTGACCTGTCTTAAATTCTAAGCGCATTATGCAGTTGGAGGCCCTATAGTCTTCAACTGTACAATAGGTAAGGGACAAAACAGTTTATGATGTGTCATTAAAGTATTTTGAAATAGGAGCGTGTCTTAACATTTATCTTAATATATATAATATTATATTATATATATGTATATTATTATATAAAATATATAAAATATATTAATATATTAATAATAACTTAACTATCAGGCATTAACAGCTTAAGTCATTTCAAGGTTGGCCCCTGTCATAGAAAATGTAATTCTGAAATTAGTATTACTTAGCATCTGATGCTAGGAGCTGAGTTCAAAACTTAAAAAAAAGGAAGAGATTGAGCATAGATTTGACAGTGTAGAAGACTGCAGACGAAGCAAGTTTCTAAGAGCTCAGTAGAAACTGAACAAATTAATGGCAGAATCTGGAGGTCTAAATACTCAGAAACTACATCTGGCAAGCACAGTCCAAGAGCTAAAAACAGGTGGAGGATGAGAGAATAGATGGAAACTCGTGTATGTTTCTCTGCCTTATTCTTTGCTTGATATCTGCTTACGCCTCTCATTTGTTTCTTTGTAGGCTTTTGCTGTTGTTTTTAACGCAGTTTGTAATCTTATTACACACAATAAAACCATCCATACTACTGCACACAATAACAATGACATGACATTGACACTGTAAACAGACAGTGACAATGACTTGTTCTAAAAAAAAGTACATCAATATATGTTTTTCTGGGAAAAAAAAAAAAAAAAAAAAAAAAAAAAACACACAAAAAAAACCACCTTTCTGTACAAGATTTCATCAGTACCTTTGATACAAAAACTGCAAACAGTGGAAGAGAATGAGGAAAGGCGATGTGGGAACAGACTCGCATGCTCTCCCAAACACAGGCTCTGTACTAAGTTCTAGGGGCTGAATTCAGTGAAACACTAAAAAGTGATGCAATCCCCACAGGGAAGTGCCAGTCTGTGCCTAGAGACAGTGGTCTGCAGGGGTCTGATTTTGTAAAGCCATTTCTATGTTCTTATGAAGTCCTGTGCTCCAGATATTCCCCAGTCAAGAAGGAAGAGATATTCTGGCTGATAGTCATGAGAATACGTAACACAAGATGGAATACAACTGGTGGCATAAATATTATCATGACAATAAAAACCCCTGCAACCTGCATAACTTCAAAATGAGTTATAAAATATATGATATAAAATGCAAACGAAAATCAATTCTGCTAATATGAAGAGATCTGCAGTTTCCCAGCATAAAAGATGGTCCTATTCACTGACCTTCATCAGTGAACCCTGATCTTCATTGACACCTTTTAGAATTCCAGAAGGCTTCTGATATCTTTAAGTAGACAAATCCTGCCACGTGTTGTTTTTCTTTTAAAAAAGCCAACTAGGCTTTTCAAAACCTATTAATTTTAACAACTGCAAAGGTTAATGGCATGAAACTAGCAGTTAAGGCTTTAAAAAGGAAATAAACTCACAATTTTCTACTTAAATGCAAGCATAAAGCAATAATTAGGCACAACATTAGCATGCATTTCATAAATAAACTACCACAAGTACTGAAAATATCTTACCCTGGAAGACTCACCAAGTCTTAAATTTGCATTTGTAGTACTATATATTGAGACAAACGAGATTTTAGACCTCTGTTCTGCATTATACATCAAAGAATGAGCTCACAGCTTTTTGCTGTTACACAGTGTAACCTTGATTATCCAGCTATTGCACACGTCAACATCTGAAACTTTGGGTCATCTGGAACTTCGATACTTACGAAACCATAAAATAGTCTTTGAAGTCTGCTTTTTGGGTCAAATCTTCTGACCAAAGGCTCAAAATCTACATAATTGATTTCTGGCAATTGAATGAACGTGAATGTTCTATTTTAGGACTGACCTTCTCAGCTGGACCTTGGCAGCTAGAGAAGCAAAAGTCCAAGACATTAAAGGTGAAGAGGAGAAAGTTGAAGGCCAGACTACTCCTAGGGATCTGCCAGCCACATGTGTTAGGCACTGACATGCTGCTGAAATGGATGTGAGGAACAATTTGTTTGCTCTAATTTGATATTAATCCCACATTCTTTTTTCATCCCTCTCCTTACTTTGATGAATCAGAGTTCGTAATGCAGATCTTAGAAAATGTGACTGGAAAAAAATTGGAAATGTGATCTGAAAGGTTGCTGGACAAGCTATGGATGAGTTGTGGTTTCTGATGAGTGAACAGCAAGTACTTAAGTTACACCTAATAGTAGCACGGAGTCCTTTATTTTTGGCTTTATATGACAGGGGAGGCAGATTGTCAGACCAACATGTACCATAAATCCTGTGATAATCAAAAATTTGTTTATGTTTCATGTGACAGATTAACCTCTGTAGGAGGTTAATCATGTAATCTGTTAGACAGACTATTTGCAAAAAAAAAAAATCAAAACGTTTTGCATTTGCTATCTGATTCAGACAAAATTGCTGGTTTCTAGTCTTTTCTGATGTTTAATTGCAGGTAAATGAATAAAACTAAGTCTCTAAATTTGAGAATGACCAGAGCCAACTTGCTTTAGGTGATCTGATTTTCAAATATGAAAAGACAATTCGAGTACTTGTGACATGCTAATTTTTTAGAGTTAGAGACCAAGTAATCTAGTATTACTGTGAGAGTTTGAAGGGAACTATGATAACATAACTAGGACTTGGAAATAAGCTCTACCAATTAGTTTATCCTGACAGTAATCAGGATGATTGGCCAGCTTCTTATCAGATTGACTAAAAGAAACACAGGATCACATGAAATGTGTTACGAAAGCAATAGCCAGAAAATGGAAACTTGGAAGAAAATTCAGTCTTTGATGACACTGATGCTCATAAATGAAAAGGGTGATAGTTAAAAGACAGCATGAAGGGATTTTTTAAAACAAGGCTTTTATTAGTTTTATGAACCATGTATTATCAAGGAAATAAGACCTTCATTTTTTAAGGGATCAGAATAGGTTTAGCTAGTCTAATCTCCCTTCCTTGCATATAATAATAAGAATCATAATTCTGTAAATTGATCTGCACATAAATTAGATAGAACTTTTGCTTTATTCATACAGTCAATATAAAATTTTATAATAGCCCAGGGGAAATTCCATTAGCTAAATCATTACAGAATTACTTAGTGTTCTACCATCAACTTCTATAACCACACACGGCTTATTTTGAACTTGACACAATATTTCTGTACTGCTTTTATAATGCAAAAATACAGATTCCTCTCTCCCCCACAAAAAGAAAAAAAAGAAAAAAGAAAAAGAAAAAAAAGAAAAAAAAGCAAACAACCACAAAACAAAACAAAAATTGAAGGACCATTTGTGATTAGATTAGTGAAAAGTGTATAGTACCTTTATACATGTTTTGATAACTTCTTCAACACTCTCCTCTTCTGACCCAGAAGGTCACAAGAGTTCACTTTCACATCTTTAGACTGAAGGATCCAGTAAAACTGAAACAGCCTGGCCTTCTTGCTTATCAGGTTAACTGGTTTTACTCCTCACACTTATTGGATCAGTCTTTGACCTTGCTGTACCACTGCTTACACATCCAGAATTGAACACACAGTCTTAACAGTGTGACTGAGGAGTGGATCAGATCTTTTACACAAGGATGTACCTCTACATGGTACAGCAGATCAAAAAGGTAAATAAAACTGTGTCACAGTAGCTGTTGTAAAGCGAGAACTCCAATTCCTTGATGCCAATTCACCAATCATTTAGGGCAAGTAGTTTTTGAGACCCCTGTATGTTATCTCTGTTGCTCTAGATAGTTCCTGAGTAATAAGCTCTCATTTCTTCTGGACCAGGAGAGCTCCAGAGGTTTTCTGCAATGAGATTCCAGTGTAAAAAGTAGCCATTTATTTTAAAGGTTTAAATTCTTTGGTTAACAATAGGAACAATTTAAGGGCTTCATGGTATAAGAAATATATTTATCCTAAATATCTAATGAAGTACATAATTTTTTCTAATGAGATATTCATGTGGATGGATATTTTATAACATGTTCTGGTTTGAATTAATCTATACTTCTGCCTCTTACAAAAAAAACCCACAGGAACAATACTTTTCTTTCAATGCCCTGAAACATCAAAATAATGCATTCCTGTATTAATTTCATATAAACTTGCTGGTGGGTAACTAAACTCTGATGTTTTTCCTGAGGCATAAATTAACCAAATATTAGATTAGATTATAATCCCAAAATCTACATGTAAAGGAGTAATTTGGCACAAAAATAGGTACCAGTCTCAACTGAAAACTTCTCTCTATTGTTTTCTCATTTTATTTCAAATTACTACCTCTATGTGACTGAAAACACTTAGAATGATGGACAAATGCCAGAAAAAAATAGTCCTGTCAAATTTGAATTTAATTTGAACATTTGCAATATGGCTCTTTCAAAATTTTAGGGTTCTTATCTGTTGAGTAAACCTCTATATATGCTCCTATTTCATTAACATTTCCTTCATACTGCTCATTTTTTCACACTAGTCTGGGTACCTTTTGTGTTGCACAGCTGAGTACATGAAGTTAACATTCAACCCAGCTGCAGAATGGCACGTGAGAAATATTTTCCAACACATTGAGTAAATGATTGATAATGGCAGCTGTCCAAAGCTCCATGCAGACATTATATCAAATTAGAATGATAATTAGTATACTGATTAAGATTTATTGCCTTTATTCTACTTTATTAATTATTGTTTCTAAGTCATTTCCTTCAGGACATAATAATTAGCATACCTTCATGGAGGCACTTAAAAGGGAATTGTATAAAAATCACTATTGATGGCATAGTTCATTTCAGAGGTACTTAACAATCCGTGAGTAGTGTTGTGAAACAGCTGGCAATGATGGGTTATATGCTGTAGATGGTAGATGGCTCAGCATTAATTAGCATTAGTAGAAAGAGTCTTACAGGTACTCACTCACCTCCTCACAGTATTTCAGGTCAACTGATTTGCCATCACTGCGAACACAATCGAGCATCCGTGTTTTGATTCCGTTACCACAGACAGCCTTCTCACTGAGCTGACATGTGCTCCAGTCTGGAAATAAGGAATTCATTAGGGTAGCAGACATTTTAGATAAAACTCATAATGATCCCGTCTCCCATTTAATTCTAATTTTGTTGACATAAAATAATCCCCATAGCAACTTTTACACGTGCAATGCTCATGGAGGGAAGCCAGCTGCTACTTGTTTTTGGAAGCAGGCACTGTTCATATTCAATTCGATCTGCACAGCTTCTGAGGAATTAACAAAATGATAATTTAAATAAATTTCCTGGTGTTAAAGCATGCACCCTACATCCCAGCTGCAAAGTCTTCAGTAATATTTTGTATGAATCAAACAGACTGCAACAGTCCTCAGTATGAGACTCATAGCTCTGGATAAGAATGAAAAGCTGAAAAAACTGTCCTGGAAGATGAATGGAACTAAGCCATAGTCTGATGATGTCACTAGATGATAAGACCTCAAATACCTGTCACATTGTAGTCATAGTGGTAGCAGTTTTTGTTCAAAGTGCAGACTTCTGTCTCAGTGGCAGCAGGGCAAGACTTTCCTTCCATTGGTTGTCTCAGAGATTCTGATGACCTTTCACGGACACTGCTTCCATTGCATGGCTTGAAAGAGAAATTAGAAACATCTTGATATTATGGCAACCTGATACCTTTCCATGCAATATTATAACATCCTTTCAAACATCCTCTTGACAGAATGTAAATTTAAAATAACAGGCTCGTGTTGTTGCCTATGAGAAATTATTTCCTTTTTACTTCAGAACAAATTTAATCTGCTTCTTAAATTTGGTACCAAGCAAGCTGAAATATCCTTCAATTGGATAACACCGTGGTATTTTCCCAACTAGTTCATATCTCAGTACTGTGCTTTGAAATTATTTCATTCACAAACTGGATATTTACAAGCTCATTTTGCAAATGCTCTACAGCAGTGCACTGGAGTCTGAATACTCAGACGTCCTGAAACTTTTTTTATGTTTGAAATTTTTGGCATTTCCTTCGGAGATTCCTGTCAGGAAGGCAAGAAAAGATCCAAAATTATTGTTCTGTAATTAACTACAAATTTTGCTCTTTCCAGAACAGTGACATTTTCAGTATACTGGCTACCTTCTCCTGCAACAGAGAGGATCAAAGCTAGGCAAAAACCACTGAAGAAATGATTTCACCATACAGAACCTACCCATACTGAAGAATGTCCATTTGTGATATTTTTATTTATGAAGATGAACTTTTGGGAACAGTTTCACTGAATGAAAAATACCTGCACAGCTTTATTTGCATCTAAGCGTAAATTATGATAGTAAATACATATGTTTACATATGTACTTAGTGCTCAGTTCAGCATCTCAACACAATAATTCATATATGAATACACTGCTTACCAAAGAACAGCGAGACCATGATCCCCATTCAGACATAACACAGTCTTCTGGACATGGCAGTGTGCATTTTCTAGCACCAAGTGGCATCTCTTCAGGATCACACAGGTAGTCCTCTACAGTGTCAGAAGGACCATCCACAGTGTTCAGCATGCATCTGGAAAAAAGAACTGCACATAAACTGCATTTGCCATGGATTTTGTGCAATGACTATAATCCATGCTTTTTAAAGCATTTTAACATTTTGTCAGCACACAAGACATAAAGTAATTGAAGTAACAGAATATTGATCTGTGAAAACTCAAGTCAAAGAGACGAAAAGAATCTTTATTTATACATGATGACAGCCATATAAAAAAAAGTACAGAATGTAAATATTCCTTGTTAATGATGTGCCAAGAGGTACTTTAGATTGAAAGAGGAACAATATTATTTTACCTGACTTTCCTTGTTTGAACACCTTCTCCACAGTTCTCTTTTAAGTCCACATTGGTCACCTTGCAGACGCTCCAGGGCTCGGTAACCCATATGTATTGGCTGCAGTCACTGTGGCATGGAACTACCTCATATACCTGGAATCCACACTGAGTGTCAGTTTCATTGCACACAGTCAAGATAAATATGCAACAGAGATCATGCTGAGATATAAGCAAAAAAAAGTTAATGAAATTTCTGATAAAAATAACGAAAGTAATTAATTTGACATTTATAGAACTTGCTGCTGTAAAGGCTGTAATAATAATATTGATAAAATACTTGATATAAATCTACAAGAATACCAGCATTAGTATTTTTTACAGATTTGAAAACAGACTTTGAATAGCATCTTGTATAATAATTTATATGTAAATTTTCCATATGTTTTCCTACAGATACATTGTAGAGAAAAACAAATAGACAATGTATGCACTGAAGCACTATCAGGGAGCCCATGTTAAGGTTATTTCACTGCTTTAGAATCTCTTACCTGAGCCTGAAGAAAGTATTTTCATGAACCCAAAAGAAAAAAAAGATAAAAAGAATGATTAGAGTTAAACATAGGTACTTAAGAAGCATTCATTTTGTTTTCCTTACGAACAATACTCTATGACTTCTGAAAAGCAAAACACATCATTCTTTTCCTCTTGGATCTTCCTTATTTTTTGAGGCATTTTTGAAGATGTATTCTTTGGAATAAAATAGAACTTTATAAAACATAACTACTAATAATTATGTTACAGATCACTTAAAGTCCCTTTCTTTAAAATTAGCTTATATCAGCTAACTTCACATGTCATTCTGGGTATTAGGTCAGCACAACAAGAATTTCTGGAGAATCTAAGACTTTGTTTTAAATAAGACAGCATTCATGTCAGGAACACTATTTTGATAGAAGAACAGAAATGTTAGTTTAGGAACCTACAGACACCATTGTCAAACCTACAGACAATTGTCAAAAGCCACCAGATTGGTCAGGCAAGATTTGTCTTTTGTGAAGCTGTGCTGGCTGTCATGGATCACCTCCTCATCTCATATGTCCCTTAAGATAGCTCCCAGAAAGATCTATTTCATGATTTTCTCAGGCACAGATATGAGGCTCACATGCCTCTAGTACCTTGGGTCCTCGTTTCCCCCTTTCTTAAAAATGGGAGTGATGTTTCCCTTTTTCCATTACCTTGGTCTTCACCTGACAGCTGCAACTTTTCACACATGATGGATAGCAACTTGGCAACTACGTCAGCCAGCTCCTTCAGGACCCTGGGATGCACATCTTCTGCATCCCATAGAGTTGTAGACATTCAGTCTCATCAGGTGATCTCAAATTTGCTCTTCTCATAAAGTGCCTGAGAAGAGGCGCTTTATTTGTTTTGTTGAGGATTTCCAGAATGAAAATAGTGAAGCCTTAATTCATTAAAATATCTGTATATATCTTGCTCTGGTTGATGCAAGAAAAAATACATAAAACTTGTATATTCATGTATGTGCTTAGTGATGTTCTCCTGACCCTACCTGCACTTCTGTAACTATGACTGCAGGCCACAGTAACTGGTTAGTGTAAGGAGTGCGTATCCATCTGCTGGATGACTGAGAAAATAATACCTGGAGGCAAGGAGAAGCGGGATGCCCTTATCCTTTTATTTCCTCTAGCAATCTCAGATTAGTCTCTTCACTTGAAATCCTCTGAAGACCACTGCTGCAATTTTATAATAACCCTGACTGTATATTGCTATGTCATATTACTATGACTTTTAACCTCACAGAATTCAGAGTAAGCTGCACTCAGCTGGAGCATGGTTTAGGGGCCACTTCAGCATATATGACCCAGGAATACATAGGAGAAAATGGGCTAAATGAGACATCTTCCATTTACTGTGCTCATTCTCCACCAAAAGTGTCATGCTTATGTTAGCCCTGATAGATGTTGAGTAACCAGCTCTTAAAACTTAACATCTTAAGCATTTTATTTCCATATTTCACTAGTCTTACCACTAGAAAAATTTCCCAAGGCTTAACCAAAATCTGCTTGCAGCATTCTAAGCCTACTGCTTTTTATTCTATCCATGATGGTCTTGGAAGATGGATTATTTTCTCCTCCTTTAAAAGAGCCTCTTACGTTCATGCTAACAGACGGCCTGCATGCTCCCTACCATCTTCCCATCCATGAGCTAGACCTCATATTGCAAGCTTTTCTCAGAAATAATATTTCTTAGCTTTCTACCTACAGTATAACCCCTCTGTACATCATATCCCCTGTATCTAAGGCCACCAAAGATCCTATCTAACCACTATGTTATGTATGTATGCATCTAAGCATATTTTATATATTTATATGTACATATAGTACCAATTATATGAAATAAATATTCTGAAGCTTCAGTAGTTTTCCAGACAAATGAATGTTGGAATAGATTTAGATTAACTAACTAACTTGTTCCTTGATAAATACAATGTAGGCACACCCCCTGAATATTTCTGAGATGTCCAGAAAATGAATGTATTTTAAACTGAAAGATATATCCTCTAAATTTTTTTACTTTACTATACTATATGTGTAATTCTCTCATGGAGTATATATATATATTTTTTTAACAGTAATTACATTATGAATCATCTATGATTATTTGGAAAACCTCACATTGCAACAAATCAAAACACCGGTAGAGGGCAATAGTGTTGCACATAAAAGGCCAACAGACCTTTAGCAAAATCACTTAGATGCAGGGAAAAAACGAGTCTGTCATGTTCTGTACAAGTATTAAAGAAATAAAAATATTTCTGTATAGACTACGTATTTTTTGCTATTGAAACATATTTTTTCCTTATCCTAATAATATTCCTCCTAATGATTCTTATGGGCTGGCCCAAATTCAGCAACACATGTTCTAGTCTATCTTTTGCTAGATCAGATCACAAACTTAGTTTATTAGTTTAAGTTTAATACATATTTTATAAATTAAAATTAATTACATTCCCTAAAGCAGAAAATTAGAACAACAAGCCATTTCACTTTGTGGTAGCAAAATGTCAATAGGATAATATTAAGTACATGCATTTTATTCAAATGTAGATTGACATCACATTTACAGAGAAGATCATGTGGTCATGATCATGTGGTCATTCAACATGCCTTTGCAAAGTAAATTAAATTCAACAACAGTATTAATATAAATCGACTTTGAAAATTGTAAGTTAATTGAAAGGGTTTTGTTTCTTTTTTTTTTTTCTTTCTAAAACTCTTCAAGTAAACAGGAGAACATGAACAGCCGTTTACCAATCTACTGCGCTATACTACAGCTTTACTTCATACTAGCATTAGGTGAGCCATCATACAAGCTCACCATGTTCTGTATCTGTAATTCCCCATCCCTAGATGGGGCCAAAATCAAGGCCAGATTGGATGGGGAGGCTGGTGGCCTTGTGGCAGGGGTGTTGGAGATTCATGATCCTTGAGGTTCCTTCCAACCCAGGTCATTTTGTGATTCTGTGAACTTCGGGGGTTTGATTTGAATTAGTGCTAAACTTATTCCCACAGACTAAATGTTCATTTCTCATCAAAGCACTACCATTATACTCTAAGATCGTGTCTCTTGGCTTAGTATCACTTGAACAGGATTTAGTTTGGGCAGCTAGATTTTTCTCTACGAAAATCAATTGTGGTTATTAGGACAACGTGGAGATTGACTTCAGAAGCACACTCCTGAACTGATGTGCCATTGCAGGTATACTTGGAAGGTAAGGATTTAATTGATTAAAATGCCATAAAGGACAATATTCTGGGTGTTCGAAGTATTTTTATTATTTTCAGATCTAGGATGGTCTAGGATGCAAAGAATCTTAGTAGCTCTAGCATCTGTAATGAGAAATACTTCACCTGTTATTAAGAAATTATCTTCAGAAACATGGTCTTCAGCATGTACATTAAAGAATATTCTATTGTCTCTACAGTTCAGATTACGTACTAAACTCTTGCAGATGATTGAACAATGAAGGCAGATTGTGTGCCAGCTGAGGAAATTTAAGCAATCTCAATCTACATGCTTCTGCCCCATATTTGTGTAGCCTTTTTACATTAAAAAAAAATAACAAACCCAACCATACAGCTAAAAGGGTTTTCCAAGATATGCAAAAACTACATCAATAATGTAAATATAAATAAAATTACCTGATTGACATGATCTAGCTTAGGACAGGGTCTTCCACCATTGTAGGGCTTTTCACGGAGCCATTTTGACCGAACTTTTACCCCACTTCCACAGGATTTACTGCAGCGAGACCAATTGGACCACTCACTGAGCTTGCAGTCTGAAGGACATGGAATAATACAGGCTTCCTCAATATAACCTGTGTGAATGGAAAAGAAAGTGAAATCTCTTCAGCGTGTCATTCTGCCACTTCTCCCTGAAGCCCTCATCTGGTTCATTTAGATTGTCCAAAGTTTGACTTGACAAGACTGTGAATAGAGAGATTTCTTCATAATTAGGGCTAAATTAAATTCTGCAGAAAATTGACACATATAACTGGAGACTGTGATAGAGTAACAGCTGAGCATCCTCACTACTATCTGATTATGATTCACATTCATCAGATTTCAGCATTCAAAATTTCTGACAGCAATAGTGTAATTGACTAACCCATCCTTTGTTTCATCATTCTTATACCATGAAGCAATTCATTTTTGAACAAAAGAAGGTTTAATTAAAAGCCTCTTCCATAACTGTAAAAAGTAAGCTGCAGTTATTAAATATATATATATATATCCAACTGAATGAAAAAATTCATCTCTTGTCAGCACAGAACAGGGGAACTTAACACCTTGTGACCTTTCTAAAGCTAGAAAAAGAGTGGTCTGCCACATTAATGATGTGCCGATTAACAACCATCTGCCCCCAGTAACACACTGAATAATTGCACTGAATGGAAAAGCAGATGTTTGGTTTGGATAAGTCATCAGCCCTGAGAGGCTGGAAAGGGGAAGAACATGGTCTGTTGGGAGTAACATGAAGCCTCAATTCACTGAGTAAGAGAAAATGACTTTCTTTAAAAGCAACATATGCCACAGCTCTATGAAGTGTGTCATTTATGCCAATATTTACAGCAGAAGATATAAAACCTCAGCAAAAAAGTTGGCTTTTGCAGTATATATACTACAACATCCTAAACTTTAATGACCTACCATCTTCCCTTTTTTGTATCATATGTTAAACACATTTACTGTTGGCAAAAGTTGACAGTAATTATAAAAAAAACCCTTAGTACATATAAAAGTGAATTCAAGTATTTAATAAGCAGCTGGAAAATTAATACTTACATGGATAAGACAATTCTCAAATGAATGGCATAGTTATATATATTTCTCACATAACATAATTTAAAAAAATTATATTAAATACAGTCACTGCCATTTTCATCTGAGCCGATCTTTGCAGCTTTGTTTTTAACTTGTACTTCTAAATAAAGCTATCATTTCTCTTCTGAAGCAGCCAATACATAACAATCACTTGTAATATATAAAAAAATCAAAACTCTTAAGAGATCTCATTTCTATATATCTATTTCCATCTGTTTCTGTGTAAAATTCAGAATATTTTATAACCAAATTCAGATGATGGTTTTAGTCTAGCTAGTTCTCCTCTACTTGGAACTTCTAGATATTTGAATAGTTTAAATATATATAGCCTGTCCTGAAAGTGAGCATTGCAGAACTATTGTTTATTAAATGTATCTTCCTTAATATGACTAGAATGCTATCAGCTTACACTACATGTTCATTAAGTATCCCTGGCCATTTATTCAGTGATACTGTATGAAAGGTATACTGTGTTAGACAAAATGTATTTTTGAAGATCATATCTCTGCAAATCGGAGGTGGTGACACACTTTGCCCTGCAGCAGTAGATGCAAAATTGATTACATTTCACCTTAACTCACATCTCTGCGTTAGTCTTGGAAATCAGAGGTACCTGACTGCAAAGATATATTTTACACCGAACTTCCACTTCATAAATGTCCAGCTCTGTACCTTTATCAGAAATTAGCATTCAACAAGCTTTCTTAGGTGCTATACAAAATAATGTATGCAAACCTTTAAGAAATTACTGAATTAAAATTCACAGCAGAAAAGAAGTTAAAATAAGTAAATGAAAGAAAAAAAGAATAGTGATATTTACTGTCTAATGAAGATCTAAGTACTCTTTCTAAACTTGCTTGAGATTCTGATATGCTGCATTAATTTTAAAATCTTAAATTTCTGTACTGGAGAAACCTACAATAACACAATTATACCATTTAGCATTCATTAAATTTCTGCATCTGACAATGGTTTGGTTTTTCAGTGTAAAGCCAGGAATTGGACATGATTATGCTTGTGCTTCCCTTGCAACTTGGAATATTCTATAATTCTATGGCTCTTTACAGAAGGGACATACTAAGGGAGAATGGTGGAAAGAGTAAATAAAGTCAAGTAGATGGAAGAGAAAAATAAATAGCTGAGAAAATAGTAAAGAAAATTGTGAAGACAAATACACATAGGAAGAGAAAATAAAAAAAAAGGAGAAAAGATACAGACATTCTGCCCAAAGCAATACCTTGGCAATGCACAAACAGAATGAAATTCTCTCAAGAGTCTATTCAGGTATCAGAGCAAAACAGAATTAAGAATGTTCCCACAAATAAAAACAGTGAACTAAAGGAAGAAATAATAATAATAATAATAATAATAATAATAACAATAATAAAAACACACTAATTTGGCATATCATTTTTATTCTCTAGAAGATTAATGTGTAGAATGAAAATGAAAAGACCCTTGTTATATCTGACATTAAAAAGTTTCTGGTGTACTCATTCTTTGGTATCTTTTATTCCTCTCAGACACTTCACTGTTTCAGCTTAAAAATCTGTTTAGTATTTAGCTATGCCCCTGGTCTCCCTTGGAACCTAGGCAGAAGCAGACTTCAAATTGCTAGCAGATATTTCTTTAGCCAAGAAAGATGGCTGAATATTAAAAGTTACATGCTGCAAATGACAGACTGTGCTCCATTTACCACTCTTCTAATGCCAATTTTTAGAAAACGTTTCTCCAAAGCAAGTCATCATCTCAGATGTCTTCTGTACATCTAATGTCAACATATCTTAAAATTTTAGGATGAATAAGGATAATAACCTCTGGAAATTCATAGCAATCACCTACAAATCAAAGAAAACTGATGTTCAGGAAGTTTGAAAAATGTATACTCTTTTTTTTGTTTGTTTGTTGGTTTGCTTGTTTTCCTTTAGAGTAGGGATGACTTTAATATATTTCTGGTACCTGTATTTGTAAACTTTGACCATTCTGTAAACATTTTATTGAGAAGAGAATATACTGTGATATAACAGAATTACACTAAAAATACAGAAACATAAAAAAAAAAAGAAAGAAAAAGGACATGCAAATGAGACTAGTGATGCAGTACGTAGTTCCTGATGTGAAAAGGACATAAGTGGGGCCTTTTTTCAGTTTTCAGTCTTGTTCCTACTGATTTAATCATCCTTGAGAGGGTGCAACTTCTATTAAACACTGTAAAAATGTATTAAAGAAACAGTTCGCTAAAGCCCGAGGGCAGAAGGATGTCTATACGATGGAATATCACACAATTATATCTCACATTCAGGTTGCGTAATACAATTACAGCAAATTGCATGCTACAGCCTTGAGGTTTAAAGAACAAGCAAAAACAGGACAGATGCAGAGGGACGAAAAGGAATGAAAGCAGGGAAGTGGCTGTGAAGAAAAACAGAAGTAAGTAAGAAGATGAGAGACAGTGAAATAGCTGACCAACTCAGCAAAGACTAAAGATATATGCATTGGACATCTGCAGTTCATGTCCTGCCTGCTGCTTATCGTCTTGCTGACTGAAGTCTTCCACTGCACACTTCCTTTAGCTCTTCATATTCTTTGTAACATATGAAGACTGAAAAGATGAAATCTTGGGATACTGTGGTACAGTATCAGCCTTTTGTCTGTAAGGTACAGAATGGTCCTAGAAAGTAACATTCACCTCTTCAGGTCTACTCTTTTTTCCCAGTCAGTAGTTTCTCAACTGTTTCAGCTCCTATTAGCTGAACTTCGCAAGGCTACAAAATGGTCAGTTGTCTACTATGAATGAGAACATGGATATTCTATCATTAAAGATTTGATACACAATTTAACAAATGCCTTAAACTGCAAAGAGTATGAACTGAATTTGTTATTAAATTGAAATTGCTTACTGCCTCACTGCTAACTGGTAACAAAACCTGCACTCCTCGAACAAGTAATTAACAGATGTGCTGGACAATTTCCAATGAGGAACTTAAATGGACTGCACACTTTGTCTAAAGACAGAACAAGTTAGTTAGGTTAGATTCCAATTTTCCCCACACAAACTGTAATTCACAATGTGTAAGTACAGACCAACTACTTATGTTGAAGAATGCAGACATAAAGAACATAATGGAAAGTCTTTACATTTACTCTTTTGTCCTCAGGACTGACAGAATTATGTTCTTGCTTTCACAAATAAAATGTTATGCTATGTTTCCAAGAAAAAAACTGCAATGTCAAAGTAATGATTTATGTTCTTCAGCATAGTTTTTTGGGTCTTTTTTGTTCAGTGTTTTGGTGTTCTTTTGTCCAATTGGTTGGTTGGTTTGTGTTTTGCTTTTTTTTTTTTTTTTTTTTTTTTTTGCCATGAAATACAAAGTTCTAGGATTCTATCTTCCAGGACAAAAGAAAAAAAAAAAAAAAAAAAAAGCAAAACCCAACAAAAAAAAACAATAATAATGTCTCCTCCCCAACACCTGAAAAATAAAGCAAAACAATCGAAACCCACAAAATCTCATGACTGTATTTCAGTTGTAACAGGATTTTGCAGGATTACGTTTTACAGGATGAAAGTTACAACTGAGAGCATTCATACTTCTGCCTGTCCATGGAAAAACATACTGCACTTCATACGATTATTTTTTTTTTTCTTTCCAGAATTGCTCTTTCAAAACCTTAAAATCTGAGGGCAATTATTAATGCCTAACCAGCATTTCTGTCTCTGGTGAACTAAACACAGAGTCTTTGGGTTGATGGGGGACTGCCTCATAATTGCTGTACTGTTGACAGACCAAACATGCTGAAACTATAATGCAGAGATCCATGCTAGTAACTGCAGTGCGGGGCAACAGGTAGTACAAGTATTCCAAGAGAATACATAACGGGACAAATACAGCATCCTGTATGTGAAAAAAAATACTGGGAGATATATATGCTATGAAACTACAAGGTACCCTAATAACAGTTTGAGAACCTAAGCATACTGTCATATTGAATTATA